GGTCTGCGTGTCTGGTCAGGAGAGGCTGCAGGGTCCTGGGGCCCCGCTGAGCAGCTCTGCGGAGCCCTGGCACCCCGGGGAGGGTGCGGGGTGGTGCATCTATCCCTGTTAGAGAGGCTTTGCTGAACCTTAGAGAAACACTTGACCAACTGGGAGTGATTGTCTGAGTTGTTGAATGGGATGGTATACATTGTTCTTTCAAGGTTATTGAAAAGAAAGCCAAGCCCCATATTCAAGTCGATGTTGGAGGTGGGCAGACAAAAACGTTTGCTCCTGAAGAAATCTCTGCTATGGTGCTGACGAAGATGAAGGAAACAGCAGAGGCCTACTTGGGGAAGAAAGTAAGTTCACCAAGTGCTATTAAAAAGAACCCAAAGTAGCAGCTTTACAAAACTGAAGACGGGCGGGCTGAATCTGGTCTAACCTTTCAATCCCAAACCCTGCTCAGTGCTGCAGGCCCCTAAGGCAGCCCAGTTGAAAGGGCTCAGCTGATGGTGGGGTTTTACCTCTTTAGAGGACAGTGGGGTGTTTGCTATCAGCGTTGCTGTAGCTGTTTAGAAGCTGCATTATTTGCTTTCATTTATCTGTGACAAAAGTGTATTTCTTGCTCCTTACTCAGGTTACCCATGCTGTTGTTACTGTGCCAGCCTACTTTAATGATGCGCAGCGTCAGGCTACAAAAGATGCTGGTACCATTGCTGGGTTGAATGTGATGAGAATTATTAATGAGCCGTAAGTAGCCTTACCTGTCCTGCCTGCTGGGGGGTGGGGCTGGTAGCTACAGTTCTCTGATGGGGCCGTTTCCTCTACAGAACGGCTGCTGCCATTGCTTATGGGCTGGACAAGAGAGAGGGTGAGAAGAACATCCTCGTGTTTGACTTGGGTGGTGGAACTTTTGATGTTTCCCTCCTCACAATTGACAATGGAGTCTTTGAAGTTGTGGCTACTAATGGTGACACTCACCTGGGTGGAGAAGACTTTGACCAACGTGTTATGGAACACTTCATCAAACTCTACAAGAAGAAAACTGGAAAAGATGTTAGGAAGGATAACAGAGCTGTGCAGAAGTTAAGACGTGAAGTGGAGAAAGCGAAGCGAGCCCTGTCATCTCAGCACCAGGCCAGAATTGAAATAGAATCCTTCTTTGAAGGAGAAGATTTCTCAGAGACACTTACTCGAGCCAAGTTTGAGGAGCTGAACATGGTAAGTCTGGGAAGGTAAAGTTCCACTGCCTCAGGTCTAGACTGGAGCCTTGTGAATGTGCAGAATTTCATGCTGGAGGCTGCACTTCAGGGTATAAATAACTTCCTGCTTGCACTAAAAAGCAGCAGCTGCTCCTTGCCAGAGTAGCTGGGGGGCTCTCTGTCAGTGACAGCTGAGGCCTCATCAGGGCTGGTCCTAAGCTGGTGGTGGTTTCTCTTCTAGTTGTTGAGCTTCGTCCCCTAAAGCTGTGTAATTCAGAGGTTGGGCATGTGGGAATACAGACTTAATACTGGGCTTTTTTTTGTCTTCCTAGGACCTGTTCCGTTCCACTATGAAGCCTGTTCAGAAAGTTCTGGAAGATTCTGACCTGAAGAAGTCTGACATTGATGAGATTGTTCTTGTTGGTGGCTCTACTCGCATCCCCAAAATACAGCAACTAGTGAAAGAGTTCTTCAATGGGAAGGAGCCTTCCCGGGGCATTAATCCGGATGAGGCTGTGGCCTACGGCGCGGCTGTCCAGGCTGGCGTTCTCTCTGGGGACCAGGATACAGGTAATGACACTGCTGCTGTCCCTTCAGGAGCGTTGACTCTGAGTAGCAGATACTGGTTCCTGACAAACGTAGGACAGTTCCAGAAGTTCAGTGCCTCTCAGACCTCACGATGCTGCTTGCACCCACGGGCTGTTGTGTGTCAGGTTGAAGTCCTGTCACTCTTACCCTTGATCTGTTACAGGTGACTTGGTGTTGCTTGATGTCTGTCCTCTGACACTTGGCATTGAGACAGTTGGAGGCGTGATGACTAAACTGATCCCAAGAAACACTGTTGTTCCCACAAAGAAGTCTCAGATCTTCTCCACGGCTTCTGACAATCAGCCAACTGTGACGATCAAGGTCTATGAAGGTGAGTGTTGCCCTATTAACAGCCAGAATCTGACTGTAGGACTTTGTCCCTGGCTTATCGTGATGGCTGTGGATATCTCATCAAGAAGAGCTTGGTGACAGTGCTGGCTTTCTGAAGCTGCTCCTGACCTGCACCAAAAGCTGTTGTTAGAACCATTTTTTCTAGCAACAAAGGTTCTAGAAAAACATTTTCTAAAAAAAGCTGCTGAAGAGCTCTTTGAGTGAGAGGTGATAGTGTAGGAGGTGTCTGGACAGATGTTGGGTTGGAATTGAAACCTTAACCCCTTCAAAGTGTGTAGCTTTTGCTTTCACAAAGTACAAGCCCCTGCTAGGAAGGAAAGAAACTGTATCCAACTGTGTCTTGCAGGTGAGCGTCCCCTCACCAAGGACAACCATCTTCTGGGAACGTTTGATCTCACCGGAATCCCTCCGGCCCCTCGCGGCGTCCCCCAGATCGAAGTGACCTTCGAAATAGACGTGAACGGGATCCTCCGCGTCACGGCTGAAGACAAGGGCACTGGCAACAAAAACAAGATCACCATCACAAATGATCAGAACCGCCTGACACCAGAAGAGATCGAGAGGATGGTCAACGATGCCGAGAAGTTTGCAGAGGAAGACAAGAAGCTTAAAGAACGGATTGATGCCCGGAACGAGCTGGAAAGCTACGCTTATTCCCTGAAAAACCAGATTGGGGACAAAGAGAAGCTGGGTGGCAAGCTCTCATCTGAAGACAAAGAAACCATCGAGAAGGCCGTAGAGGAAAAGATCGAGTGGCTCGAAAGCCACCAGGATGCAGACATTGAAGACTTCAAAGCGAAAAAGAAGGAGCTGGAGGAAGTTGTCCAGCCCATCGTTAGCAAGCTCTACGGAAGCGCAGGCCCTCCCCCCGGCGAAGAGGAAGCAGGAGAGAAGGACGAGTTGTAGATACCTGGCGCCTCTGAATGTTGTGTGTGTGTATATATTGGACTCAGGAACACTTGTTTAAAATATTGAACTCTTGATTTGGAATGTAACTTTTGAGTCTTCACTCGCGAGTGGAGCTGGAAATGCTAAGCCCCAAGTGGCTGTTTACTGCTTTTCGTTAGCAGGTGCTTGATGTCGAGGGAAGGGTAGCTGGGGGGGGGGAGTGTAAATGCAAACGGGGTTTAGGAGTATCGGCAGCCGAAGCGTTCTATTTAACAACCTGGTCATGTGAATTTGGTGTAGAACTTTTCTACCTGAAGTGGCCACAATAAATTTGTTATTTACACTGGATTTGGTTCTGTGTTGTGTGTCAGCGGGGCTGGGGCGCTGCCCAGCTGAGGGCATGCAGCAAGGGGGGGGTGTCCTGAAAAGCTGCTCGGGGGCTGCTCAAGGCTGCAAACTGCCAAGTCTAGATTAACCACAGCCACCCTCCCCTGCAGTCTTGGAACTACTTTTAGGAGCTCAATCTTACAGGAGATCAGACCTGTTATCTGATGGAGGAGATGCAGGATGTGGACTAGGTAAAAAGCCTCCTGGGAGCCGAGTCCCTGTGATCCCGTCCCTGGGCTCTGGCTCTAACTCCTCAAACCCCTCAGCATTCCACCTTTTCCCTGGGCTGGGGGAATGACTTTGCCAGTTTCCATTCACTTGCTTTCAAAATCGTGAAAGCTGAAGTTCAAATCATCCCCCCCCCCCAACTTATTTCTAGGCACCACTGTGGCTGGGCCAAGAAGGAGGGATTTTTGGTTTGTGTTTTTTTTTTTTTTATTTTACCAGGGAGGGAGCTTCCTGGCAGCAAAGCACCCAGACATGTCCCAACCCCACCCAGGCTCCTGTGTCCCACCCCCCGGGCTGTGCACAGAGAAGGCGCCTGTGCCTCGGGACCCAGCGCTGTCCCTTGGGGGACAAGAACTTGTTTATTGGGAAGGAGAATTAACGTGACAGTTGTATAAAATCCGTAGAAAAGGCCGGACAGCGGCTCAGCTACTCGATCAGCGTGACGACGCAGTCCCTGTGGATCTCCCCCTGTGTGTCCATCCCACCAAATACCAACAGCAGATGCACGATGCCTTCAGCACGCCCCTCCTCTTCCTCTCGGCCCTTCGGGAGGGGGCCGGTTTTGTCGCCTGCTGATGGAGGCGGCTCCTTCCCAGCTCTGTCTGTCCCCGCGGCAGCTGCCCTGTCCCCGCTATCGCCAGCCCGCCAGGGAACGACGCACATGGCGTGGTCCAGCCTCGCGGCAGGCAGAGGAGAATCAAAGCGGAGGAGCGTCCACTGCTGCTTCTCTGCAGGACAAAGACACATTCGCATCCTTCAGCGCGGCCTCGGCCAGGCTGCAACATCGCAGAGCGTTTAGCCTTGCGCTGGTGCAACCCCCGTGCAGTGACAGCGACTGCCGGGGGCGGAAGTCCAGGAGCTGGGGGGAGATGCCCTTTCCAACTGACTGGCCTTTACCGTTACACAGCCAAGAGAAACCTCCCTACCTGTGTGATACTTGTAGGTTGTATCTAGTGTCCCCTCTGGACCTATTCCACCAAAAATGTACACGTGGTCTCTAAACACAGCTGACGAGTGGGATGCCCGTCCTCCTGGGATGTCACCGGTGGCCGGTATCTTAACCCACCTCATGTCACCTGTTAGAGAAAAAAACATGCCTACGGTTACACGTTACAAAAACCCCCACAAGTTTTATTGGTTTAAACAAACAGGGTAATATTTTAAGCCCCTAAGAACTGATCTTTTAGAAAAAAGGTTGCCCCGAGTCAAAACGCATCCCACAAGCACTTTTGCTCTGCGGTACCTACATCCACACTTACTCGTATCGATGCAGAAGAGATCGTTGTAAAACACGTCACCAGCTAAACCTCCGTGGATGAAGAGTTTGGTCCCGACTGCAACCACAGCGTGTCCGTGCCGAGGGGCAGGGGGATCACCGTGAGTATCCGGCTGGGACCAGGTCAAGGTGGCTAAAAATGAGAGTACACGGGCATCAGGAGGAAAACTGGAGCCTCTACAAACTGGCGACCCCGGAGCCCCTCTGAGGCTCCCACAGGAAGCGCCTCAGCGGGGTCAGGGAAGGGTTAACGCCGTATCCCGGATCGCAGGCTCCTCCGATGGAGCAAGGAGTGCTCTCTGGGTCACCCAGCAGCAGGAAAGGTCAGTTCGAACCGGAAAGCAAACCCTTTGGCACACACAGGGCCACGAGAATTTACGGGACAACTCTGACGGAACATGAGGACACAGGACGACGCCACCACGGAGAGGAATCAACTCCGGGGCACACGTGAGGAACCACTCCCGCCTCCCCTGGCGTTCCTCCTCCCAGAGCTTCACAGTGCCCTGCGGGGCCGAATTCCCCGCGGGTGCGTACAGGTACGTGTATGTCCACAGCAAGAGACATCCACCCCGTTAAACTCGTGGCCAAAGCGGGGGCCCAACGCTTGCACATCTCTGAATCGGAGAGGCCGAGCTCCCGCAGCGGCGGGCGGGCTCCAGGCCCGGCGGTACCTGTGTCAAACACGTGCAGCCGCTGGTCTCTCACCGGTTCTGCTCCTTTATCTCCCCCTCCAAACACATACAGACAGTCTCCTACAGCTGCTGAGGAGGTGTGGAACGTCCTGGGCAGCGGCTGCACACCACTCACTTCAGGACTCTCCCAGGTTCCTATTTCTAATTAAGACATTTGATTGACAAAGTAATCAACGCGGTAACAGAACGCCCCCCCCCCCC